ACCCCCCGAGCATCCCCCCCCCCACGGGAGCCCGTCCCGCTGCCGTCCCCACGGGGGGAGGCGAAAAAAAAGTTCCTCCGTGGACGCCGCGAATCCAGCAAATAAATTACCGGCTAATTAGCAGTGACAAACACAGCCGTGTCATTAACGTGTTGGTTGGGGTTTGTTTTTTGCCCCTCATCCGGCGGATTGAGGCATCAAATTAGGGCGAATTGACGCTGCCGTCCCCACGGGGGGAGGCGAAAAAAAAGTTCCTCCGTGGACGCCGCGAATCCAGCAAATAAATTACCGGCTAATTAGCAGTGACAAACACAGCCGTGTCATTAACGTGTTGGTTGGGGTTTGTTTTTTCCCCCTCATCCGGCGGATTGAGGCATCAAATTAGGGCGAATTGACGCTATTTCTGGCTTAATATTGTTTTCCCTTTGTCGCTTAAATCCCACCAAGCGAGTACTTTCGTTGACAGGACCCGTCTCTTTTACACCTTTCCCGGCGTTCTAATAAATTATTCACAATTGTTTAACTTTTCCCTGTGCATTGATTTTTCATTTGACCTTTGGAAAGACGACTTTACAGGACAGAGCGTTTATTTCCCGGAGCAGGTAGGATTTCGGGGATGGATTTAGCATTTCTTTCGACCCCCATGATCCACGTCTCCTCCACGATAGGCAACGATTTACTGGGTTTTTTTCCCCTTTCCAGGCACCAAAGAAGGTCCCACCAGCGGTGAACCGGCCCCGGGTGGCATTTTGGGTAGCGGGGGAAGGGGGTCTCGGGGGGTTCGGGACACCGGGGTCCCCACGGGATCGGGATGATGTTCACGGGCGGCAATTCCATCCGTGGGTTTTCGTTTTGTGCTCACGGATGTCTCGCCGCGCTGGGGGGGACTCTCCTGAGAACGAACCCAATCACGGAATTCAGCGTAAGGATCGAAACGTTTCGTTGCGTTTTCTCGGCGTGGGGCGTGGGTGGGTGGGCGTGGGGGGGCGTGGGGGGATCAG